AAACTAGCAAGGAACATGCAAGCACTGGTCAGCGATAGATTTCTTAAAGATAAAGATAACTTTATTGATCCCACAGTGGGGAAAGTCTTAGCTGTTTTCTAAATTCTTTAAGTCCCTGAGCTAGTCTGTTTGCAAACTATTGGTTAATAATGTCAGTTATTTGCACCATTGTCTACTGTCTCATAACTGCCTGCAAACTATATCTACTTTGTTAAGCAGTTTATATTCCAAGAAATACAGGTTACTGCTACGATAGTTGATGCCATTTTGTATTCTTTGGCTCTGCGTATCTTTGCCAGCATATGTCAAGAACACAGTTTTACAAAGTTCACCAAAATCAAAGTCAATTCAAAAGAAAAAAAAACAACCCAAAAACGTACAGCTTTACACAGACTCCATTTTTAAAACATGGTAAAATGCTTTCGTGGCTTTTACTCAGCCAGTTTTCTCACCATTAGATGTCAGGCTTTTCATACACGTTGAAGGATTACGGTTCTGTCTTTTTGTTTTATTGTTTTTCTGTCCTGGATCTTGTAAGAAAGTTCCACATTTCTCTAATTAAGTCACCGTTTTCCTCAGTGTCACTTTCATGTCTCCCTAGCACCACTCCTCAGCCCCTGCCACCACCAGATGACTCACACCCCTGCTGGTGCTTGATCAGATGGCCTCCATTACAGCGCTCTGCCAGCTTCTGCTCCCCAGCCGCTGATCACGCCTCGCTATAACTTTATTCATTAGCTTCGCACCTTATTCCGAATGGGAGGCTTTATTAGCTGAAATGCAGTGTAAACGCCAGAGATTATTACTTAAGCCTCTCCTACTGTTACACAAACTATCACTCATTCTACAAAAGCTGCTAAATCCTCCAAATATGAAGCGATGAATGAATGAAATCGAGAGATGGATGGAGAGCTGAAAGGGAGAGGAAACAAGGAAGAAGGATATAGGGAGGGATATTCTCCTCCAAAGCCTCTTACCATTAAGCATTTACAGCTTAAGAAAGGCACTGGAAGGTCAGTCAAGGAGGCGTTCAGAGGGAAAGAGAGGAGGCTTGTGGAGCTCCCTCCTGGGCTTCTGAGGCTGAACAGGACAGCTGTTCAGCAGAAACCATGGGCTTTTGATACAATTTAATCAAGTAGAATTGCTGAAAGGTGTTTTGTTTCCCCTCTCGTCTACTCGTATGACTCTCCAGTGACTCGGGTTCCTGTTTAACCATTCACCCTATGTCTGCTGCCGTCATCGGCTATTGAAACCTAAAACCAGGGAGTGATCAGAGTACGGCAGTGGTGGTGGTAGTGGGGGTCATTTTGGTTTTGAGTCGGGTTCTCACTCTCTTTAATTAAATATCGTCGTCGGGACGGAACCTGTCGCTTTCATCGACTTTATGGCCGATGATTCAACCAACGGCTCTTCCAGTGGTAAAAAAATAACTCTCAAATATGCTCACAAAGGTCAGTAATGATGCACCATCAGTTCTGTCAATTCATTAAAACAGCAGTGTCCGATAATTGAAATGAGAACATGCATTTGCAATTGCCTGTCAGAACTGTTTCATGTCAAACAATTTTCAGTGATTTAATTGCAAAGTGAATCAATGTCCTACGTTGATGGTAACCGATAGTGACTTCACCCGTACTGACTGCGGCCCGCGGGTCGCCTCGTTACTGCTGCTTGATGATAACAGATGCTTAAGGTGTTTCTCATGCCGTGCACCACACCTTCATTCTAGTATTTATAGAATACTTTTGCACCTGGATGTGTGTAAGGTGGAGACTTTACTCTGCATTTGAGGTTAAACTTGCACACGGAGACTTACCTACTTCAGCTTTTAACTTATTGTTTGAGTTAATGCAACAATCCATCACAAGCTGCACCAGAGTTTGGTTGGAGTTTGCTTTTAAACCAAACCCGTCTGATGTGATTCAAACAAACGTTGGCATGTTTTTTTTCTGTTGTGAAAGCTGTCAAACTTAAGAGCTGGGTCTCGATCCAGTCAGATGCTGGAGTGGTTTAAGGCATAAAAACAAAACACTGAAGATGTTAGTCAAAATGTAATTTTAGCACGATTTTAAAAGATAGGCTGCAATTATACAATTAAACTACAAGAATATTGGTACCTGGTGTCACCACATCTGGATCAGGAATGTACTATAAGAGGAGCAAACTGGAAATACAAAAAGAATAAGAATATAAGAATAGAATAAGTCCTACACAAAAACGAGAATTCGAAATTTAGTTTACGATTGTGGGTACGTATAAAATGGTGAAGAAAACCGTCATGGAGTGTTAAACCCAACATTCACACTTTCAACTGTTTTCATTCTGCAGCACACTTTTAGCTTTTAGCTGAATTTGAAAACTCAGACAGTGATTGTTGGAAACAGATGGATTTTGCATTTTTACGTGATTTCTTTTCATGTCTTTTGTAAACTACAAACCAATAAGAAGCCAAAAAAAAACCCCTCCTACCCTCCAAATGTGTCCTCTAAACACTGCAACTATCAAAAAAGCAAATATATATGTGTTTGTCCAAGATCAAGTGAAACATACATTCAGCTGACATCCATCATTAATCATAACATAAGCTGTTAAGTTGCATTTACAGCTAATAATCTTCATTAGTATTGTTGTTTTGTGAGTCGTTGTTGGCCAATAGAGAAGACAGACACACTTGTCAAACCTATATGCGTTGCTGTCAGTCACCAGAATATGATTTCCACCAGTAGGTTCATCCACTGATGTCGCAGGACGACAGCTGTCGATACTGTCAATACTAAAGTCAACAATTTCCCTGAGGTACTCTACCAAAGGGATCAATAAAGTTCTATCTAATCTAATCTGCTGTCATTCAGTATGACATTATGTTTATATGTCATGTTTTGTCTGGAACAGAAATGTCAACATGCAACGGACCAAAATGTCTCCCCTTTGGGTGACATGAAGTGAATCAAATGAACCTAAATGATCTTCAGTTTAGATGTTTAGACACTGTTGCTCCTGTTGACAGAAGGTGGTGATGGTCAAGGATGCTTTGGCCTCTGGATGAACGCTCATTTTACTTCTAGTATTACTGACAATGTAGAACCCTGATGGTTATGAAGCAGGTTCTGAAATTATATTATTATATAGCCTCTTTTTTCTGTGACTTTCTAGTTACAATAAACTAGAATTTTTTAAAAAGGTCCTATCAGTTAGTCAAATTTTTGGTTGACCATCTAAACATCTGGGAGCCAGAGACATTTTTGTGTGTACCGTTGCCATAGTTACATGTGCTGTATTAGCTTTCTATCTATTTGAACACAACCTCTCTTTCCAAAGTACCTCCTCACTCATCATTAGCATTGTCACAGCTTCCTGTTTTGTTCCCTCTCTGGGTTTGAGCTTATCATTCTTTCTGTTTCTTATGGACGTCTATGGATGTTCCATCCATCCATTGTCTATACACTGCTTCATCCTCACTAGGGTCATGGGGGGCTGGAGTCTATCCCAGCTGACTCAGGGTGAAGGCAGGGGACACCCTGGACAGGTCACCAGTCTATCACAGGGCTACACTTAGAGACAGACAACCAAGCACACTCACATTCACACCTACGGACAATTTAGAATCACCAATTAACCTCAACATGTTTTTGGACCTTGTGGGAGGAAGCCGGAGAACCTGGAGAGAACCCACGCTGCAGGAGAACTTGCAAACTCCACGCAGAAAGATTCCGGTGTCCCCACGGGGATGCGAACTGCCAACCTTCTTGCTGTGAGGCAACGGTGCTAACCAACTGCGCCACCTTACAGCTCTATGGATGTTAATAAGCTACTATTATATGTGGACAGATCTGAACAATTTTGACTCGTTTAAATCAGCAATCAAAAAGATATAATATAAATAATATGTGTAGTCATCTATGATATGACTTCTGTATCTCACAATTATGACCAACTGCCACACAACTATAAGAAACATTAACTCATAATGACAAGATAATGCACCACAGACCTACGGGATAGGAATTTACAGTCGCGTTTTTAAGATTTAAGATATTTTTTTCGGTAAATGGGCATGTAAAATATGTACAAGTTGAGCTATATCCCAGAATTTTTCAGACTGTAAAGGGGCTGCAGAAGAAGAAATGTGAGGCAATAATGATAATTCAAAGGGACAGGTGCATGTTGGGGATCTTACAACATGAGGAAGGTAGTTTTGTGCCACTTCTAAGGACAAAAAAAGTTTGATTATTTCTATTTTTTGTGAATGTGATGCACTTCCATTTATACCCAAAACTACTTTCACAGTTGCGGCTGTAGTTTTTGTTCATATATATATATTTTTTAACCATTCACATATCCACAACAGCCTGTTTCCTTTAAGTGGAGCATCAGCTCTTGTTTTACAGCAAGTGCCTGTTACTTCACAAGAGTGCTGTATATGAGAGAGAGCATACGATACAGAGAGCTGAAGTCCTGCCCCCTCTTCTATCTAGCATGTGCTACTCCACAGGTCTTCTTCAAGCTTTTTATTGTTATGAAAGGTTGAAGCATATTCCTCGGTTTCACTGACTGTTTTCTAAGCTAATGAGTTACACTTTCACCAAATATAAAGCAATGAATCATTTTGTAAGCACTCGGCAACAACATACATGAGTCTTAGTCATTGGCAAACTGTCAAAGCCTCACTGGGAGCACTTCTTCTTCTTTTCTTTCTCCTACTGAACTGTGAAACTCTAATAAGTGCAATCAGAGAAAAGTGGGAGGACTGCAAATGAGCTGTGCTTTAAATAAATAGCCAGACAATGCGTGTGCATGTGTGTGTGTGTAACCAGGCCTCGGGTTTTTAGCTAAACACTGATGCATCAAATTATAGCGGAAAATGTGAATTATTTTAATTAAAAAACGCAACACGTCACTTCTCATTTGCAGTTTTTGCCCAAAGAAAAAAAAAAAACGCAACGATGGGAGAGGCGACTGATGCCACGATCCACGCTGTCCATGAAACACACTCGTTTTTAGTTTTATCCCTTTTTATTTTACACAACATAACAACACAGTACATGTTGTCTTTTTCTGTACAGAAGCTTTCTGGGAGCTCGTGACCAACACAGGCTGTCGTATACCAATGTCAGTGAAAAGCCCACGAGGTTCTCATGTTATTTTTTGTTCTTTTTTTTTGTTTGTTTTTTTGGTTTTTGTTTGTTTTTTTTTTTAATTCTTCCCTTTAAAAAATATCAATTTCATAAGAGGTCCGTTAAAGTCTTCATCTGTTTGTTACTTTTTTTTTTTTTTTTGTCTCTATATGTCAAGAAAAGGTCTGTACTCCGCAGTAGGTAAGAAAGGCTATGTGTGAAATCTCTCTCTTCCTTCGTTCCCTCCGTCCCCAATCCCTCGTCCGTGGAGCAGGTGGTGGAGTCAGAAATCCGGTATCGGTTAGTGACGGTCTGTTAGTGCAAAAGAAGGCACCGACTGCTATTCTCTTGCCACGGTATGGATGCAAACTTTCTGTGAGCGTGTGAACGTTAACAATGGTGTGCTTTTCTTGTTTTTTTTTTTTTAAGTTTTTTTTTTTTTCCCTTTTTTTTTTTTTTCCTGTATTTATTCCCTTTTTGTGGTATTTTCAGATAAGGTGAGCGTGAACTGGGGAATGACGTGGCGAGCCCATTGTCTTGGTTTGTATTTTTTTCTTTTGTGCTATAAAGTGGAACCAACGAGACAACTCGAGGACGCTACGAGACAAGGCAAGTTATCCACTCGCTGAATGACCGACTGCAAAACAAAAAAAAAACGTCGAAGTGGACAAGAAACAAACTGTAAACTGAAGAACTGTGGAGAGAAGTTATGAAAATAACAAAAAACAAAAAAACATAGGCTGAAAAAGAAAGAAAGGTACGCTCACACTCTTGATCCAGAAACACCTGATCATCCTCTCGCACATCTATAGACAAAATTCAAACATGAAAACACACATTCTAAACGGTAACAACACACACCGTCATTCACTCGCCTATAAACAATTTCAAACTAGCACTCACACTGCAGACTTGCACTCACACGGAGGATAAACAATAATGAAACGTTTATTTCATGGTCGCTGCCTCGTTCCGGTTCAAACAGTGCTTTCTAAGATCCAGTCAGAATCGCACCGCCCTTTGTCCGAGTCTCCGTCCCCGTCTTTAGGGAGCAGCATCCCGCTCATTGATTGGCTCCTTTTGTTCCGCATTATGCGCCCTATTTTGGGCGCGCCTCCTCCTCCTCCCTGATGGGACGAGTGAGTCTTTGAGCCTCCTTCGCTGAGCGAGTACCTCCTCCTCGCCCGGCTCCTCCCTCCCTCCTCCACGGGGAGAGTCTGGTACTTGGCAGAGGAGGAGGAGGAGGAGGAGGAAGCGACGCGAGGAGCCCGGCGCAGGATGGGCGTCTCTCGGTACCGCACCGACGGGACCGGGCTCGGCGTGCTGAGCAGGCTGGAGTAAGGTGAAGGGGCGTAGGTGGGAGGCGGGGTTTGGTTGAGAGAGGTGGAGTTGTTGCGGTTTGTGTTGAGGTTCTCCAGGGGGAGGGGGGAGGAGGTGGGGAGGAGGGCCGAGGAGACGGTGGAGGAAGAGGAGGAGGCCAGGTTCTCTGCCATCGCCGCCGCGTTGGAGCAGGCCGAGCCGGGCTTGCTCGGAGCGGGCTTCCGCTTTGGCTTGTGCAGGGAACCGGTGGCGTTGGTGGGCGACGCGATGGCGATTTGAGCTCTCTCTTCGCCTGCTTTCTCCCGCTCCTTGGCTTCGGCTGTCGGGCTCCTGGCGGCCCAGGCCTGGCTGAGGACCGACGTAGTCGTGGAGCAGTCGGGCAGGGAGGACTCGGACGACTGAGTCATCGTATCCTTACCTCCCGCTGCTGCCGCTCCGCTCCTTTTCTTTGTGCCTCCCGAGAGGTCGTCTAATCCGATTGAGCCGTGTTTAGAGGCGCTGGGCGTCACGGTGCAGCCCTGCGACTGCTGCCCATTGGTCTGTGAGTGAACGTTGGTCATCGACATTGAGACGCCTTTGCCGCCCTCGCCAGGGTTACACACCTGAGGAGAAAGCAAAGGGAAAAGGGAGGTTTTCATCCTTTTTGTCCTCCCTCCTTAACGAAACGCTCTTTATGAAAGTATTCAAGTGTACAGATTTACTTTGTTGAGTTGGATATGTGTGTATTTTTAGGGCAGAATGGAAACACTGATTCAGCCCTTTTGATGCAAGAGTTGCTGAGAACATCTCCACCTCTCTGAGCCATTTTGAAATCATGATGCAAGATGCTTTCACTCTTTCTACCCTGAGGCTCCCTCTACCAAGATCAGGCTGTATTTGCTGTTAAAACACAACCTGCTGCCATTTTTTACAATGATGCTGCTTAACATAGCACATTCAGTGTAGAGACTATCCGGTACGACTGTGACTAAAACAGGTGGAGCATCGCTGTGCTTGGCTTCTGTTGCAAGCGACTGACATTGTTCTGTTTCTGTTTTAGTTTGTGTCTTCTTTACTTAGAGTGTGTGATACTTCTGATAGTGTTTCACATATAGACAAACTTGGGAATCCAATTGATGAAAGAATGAAAGAACACAAAACGTTTGTAATGCTAAGAATGAAAATGAAAAGTCCAAATATTGTTCCATGCTGTTTTCATTCTGTACAGCACTTTGGTCAACCCCGGTTGTTTTAAATGTGCTCTATAAATAAAGTTTGAGTTGAGTTGAGTTGAGAAATATGAGAAATGGAGTCAAAATTCAGACTAGGTCACAGCTAAAAGGATGACACTATGATTCAGTACAGGGGTGGGCAATCCTGGTCCTCGAGGGCCACAGTCCTGCATGTTCTAGATGTTTCCTTCTTCCAACACACCTGATTCACATGATCAGGATCGTTATCAGGCTTCTGCAGAGCTTGATGATGAGCTGATCATTTGAATCAGGTGTGTTGGAAGAGAGAAACATCTAAAACATGCAGGACTGTGGCCCTCGAGGACCAGGATTGCCAACCCCTGATTCAGTATGTCAAATTTTTGATTTAACCTTTTAAGCTCTTGGTTGTTGGGTTCCATTTTTGCCCCAAGGAACATTCTCAAACTCAGTAACAGCTCAGTCTTGGACACTTGGTTGGTCCACTTAGAAACACAATAACTCCTCTCGTTTCCATCATCAGGCCAGATATCAGCAAACAAATTCAAGGAAATTGACATTTTTACTTCAGCCTAATCACAGGGGTACATTAGACAGTAAATAATAACCTCTTAGCAGGAAGTCAGTTAATGTTATTGAACGTGTTCTAAAAATTTTCAGTCGCAAATTTGCCAAATTTGATGTACAGAAATGAAGCATAACAGCTATACTGCTTCAGTGAATCTTAAAGTTGTCCAATAAAGTAGCCACCGTCTATACAAGCTCAGTGGAGTCTGGTTGGAACTGCGATAGCCAAACATGTCTTGTGATTAACTGTTGACGCATGAGAGCATGACTAAAAATCACCAGTATGTGACTTATGCTAAATGAAACCACAGAGGTGTATTCCCATAATGCCAATCTACTGGCTTTCTCCACTTTCTTCGTCTTGGTAACGAGGACAGACAGACTGACCCACCTTGTAGCGTATCATGAGGATAATGATGAAAACGAGCACCGAGGCCACTATTATCCCTCCGATGATGATGATCATGGTTCCGCCGAGGAACTGGGACTGCATGAAATGACACCTCATGTACTCGGACTCGGTGCTGAACTGCACACAGCCCACCACTCGCGTCGCCGTCAGGGAGGTGATGACGTCGTCGTAGATGGCCAGAACGCACAGGTCGTACTGGGTCCCCGCCGCCAGATTGTTGACCAGGAAGTTCTTGCTCGATGGGGGGATCATTCTGTGGCAGAGGGGGAAAGACAGTTGATGTGAATGTGTCATGTAATATCAGAAGAGTGGATACGCGGCTTTACCAAGTTTCTCAAAGAGTCTTTCAAGAGCCACGGTGGACTTACCCCCTTCATAAATGATATTCATATGATAATACATGTTGCAAACAAAACAGCTATGTAGTTAGCTGTATCCCTGTTACAGTAGTGGTAGTTTTGTGGCTGTTTCTGTCTGAGTTTAGAAAGACAGGGTACATCCTTGGTAGGTCAACGGTCCAATACACGGCTACACGGCTAACACAAAGAGACAGACCACTCTCACAGCTTTGGCCAATTTAATCACAAGTTAACCAATTAAAAGGGCCGTGGGAGGAGGCCAGAGCACACAGAAAAACCACCGAAGCACAAGGAGGACATGGAAACTCCAGTCGACCAGGATGTGATTTATTGAATTCTTTACGTTTTACATACTCAGGTTTTTGCACTTCTTGTTTGCGAAATATCAGCTTCAATGCAAAAACAATGTACACAATGGTGTTCTTAAGTCTTAAATTGCATTTATTGCTGGATAATTGTATGCATCTGATATATTGGGTCAATGGATACCAGAAAACTGACCCTATAGCCCAAAAATGAACGTTGGATAACATGGTTTTTCCAAATATGTTGGGGATTTTTAGCCAGAAGAAGAAAATGTCTGGTTTAACATGAGAAAATACCATATTTGTCACATTTAAAACTTCATTTGCATTCAGTCAGGGTGAAAATAAGTTTTCTGCTTGTTATGATAGTGATAATTTACTGGCGGGAAAAAAACGTCTTTAGAGTTCCAGCTGCTGCACTCGCTGGTATAAAGGGGGTGTTGATTGGAAGAGACTTTAATTCCAAAAACCAGAGTGGCACTTATTAACTTCTAATTTCACATATTTGCCTCTTGCAAGTGGCTATTATTTTCAGACTCTGTGATACGGTTTGTATTTTTTGGTCAATGAGCAACGAGCACAGTGGTGGAAGACAGAATGAGAACGTCCTGTAAATGTATTAGAAGTGGGTACTGGAGTCCAAGATGGTGGCCTTTTCTTCTTTACAGATGTTGCTGTCCCAGTCGCAATATTTCCTCGATGTCTGGTGTATTAGTGTTGCTCTCACTGGCTCAGACCTGCTCAGTCTAGATCCTTTACCTCTGGATTAGTAGGAATATTAAAACTGATTCTCAAGGGATTGTGTACCAATGTAAAGCCTTCAGAGATTAAAAATACAAATAATAATACTTGACCTTGTTCGCAGCTGCAGTTGTTCTGTCACCATAATTTATATTAACCTAATGTTTATATAGAAGCTTTGAGACTGTTAAGCTAATTAGACTTAAATGACTTTTATTCTGAAACCACTTCAGAAACATGACTTGGGGTTGGAGTTGAAAAAATGTACAACTGCGACTTCACTGATCTCACATGATTACGTTTTTAAAGAAGCCCAACCAGCGTATTAGTGGCATCCCCAGCATGCATCGATTGAGAGGTAAGACTCTTATATACTTTCTATAAGCACATCATGATGGCAAATAAGTTTCTCTTTCTGTACAATCTAAATAATAAATCCACTGCTGCCTTGTTTCCAAAAGCCTGTAACATCATTCCAGAAGAATAAAACACCACAGCATGCCGTTAACAGAAGAGGCGAATGCGGAAAAATAAATAAATAACAAAAAATTTTGACGTGGAGGGAAGAATGGAAATGATAAAGAATCAGCGCACTCAGCTCCGCTGTGTATAGCTGGCTGCTGAATCCTAAAGAAGAACTCCGGTTAAATGATTTATTATTGCACGGCTGTTTCAAGCAGACGCCCTTCCTCAGCTTGCAATTGTGTTCAGGTACAAGTGCACTTAAAAAAAAATCTCCCATCTCTCCTCCTCATAATAAACCTAAAAAAAAGGGAAATAGTGAATCAATTTGAGTATTATTTGGGGAAAAAAAGCCCACGAGTACTGTGGTTATTCTTCACTGGACACTTGTCACACTGACTGGAGCTTTTCCACATTCGTCCTTCAGTTTCTCTAAAAAAAAAAAAAAAAAAAAAGAGGCTTGTCAGCTTTCCTGGACTCCCTCATTAAAATGCTAATGAAATTCCTCATTAAAAGCAAAGAGGGCGGCCAGTTCACAGCTCGTGGTCCTGCGTGCACCGAGAGGAGCAGAGGGCTGCTTTGGCCAGGTTAAAGCATCTGGTTTAGAGTTCGAGTTAAGCGAAGGTTAGGAGGCATGTTAAGGTTTAATGGTTAGTATTAAGAGCTCGGGAATGAATGTAGCTGCGGGTCATTACTGTGCCCTCCGTGGAATAACAGTGCAGTGTGTGTGTGTGTGTGTGTGTGGGTGTGTGTGTGTGTGAGCATCCATATGACCCCATGAATACTAATAGGACCATCTGATCGCTGGGTGACCATGAGTGTTCTCCCCTTTGCTTCTCTTGATGTTTTCATCACTATAGTGGCGAACCTTGGCCACACACACACACACACACACACACACACACACACACACACGATGACAACGCCATTAGTTCTATGTTGGGGCACATACAGTGACATTGAAGACTGCAGGTTAATGATAGGAGTGAATGTCAGTGGCACACAAGCTCAGATACAAGCATTTCTAGACGCAGATTAATTTCCCTATTATTGCTGTGGCCTCGGGCTTCATCGGTGTGTACGAATGTGTGTGTGTGTGTGTGTGGCTGGACGTCACATTAGCAGCAGAACATTAACATCTTTGTTTTATAAAATTATTTGTCTGCGTGGCCACATTCGAGGTTCATCTTTTTCTTGTCGGAGCCCGGTGCTAACTGACTCATTAATTCTTTACATCTCTTCAATATGCACTTTTATACAACAAGGCGTTGTGTTGGACTCTCGTAGTGAACAAAGAGCGGAGCCGAGAGGTAAAGATCTTGGTTTACCAGTTGATCTACATTCAAAACCTTCACCTATGGTCATGAGCTCTGGGTAGGGAGTGGAAAAATGAGGTTGTAGATACGAGTAGCTGAAATGAGTTTTTTTTTCTGTCGGGTGGTTGGGCTCAGCTTTAGGGAGAAGGTGAGGAGCTTGGATATCTGAAGGGAGCTAAAAGTAGACTGGCTGCTCCAGAGGTGGCTGCGGTGGTTCTGGCATCTGATTGTGATGCCTCCTGGGCACCTTTCTTTGGAGGTTTTCCAGGTACATCCAATTGAGAGAAGACCCTGAGCTAGACCTGGAACTTGCTGGAAGGATTGTATATCAGATGTGGCCTCGTTCCAAGAGGAACTGGGAAAAAAATAAAAAAAATACTGGGGAGAGGGACGTCTGTAAAGTCCTGCTCAGCCTGCTGCCAAGATAATTGGAAGAAAGTAGGTGTAATTTATGGATGTATTCCTTCACTTTACAGGTATTCTAATGACTGTTAATTGCATTACTGGTTGGTGGCCTATCTATCTTAGACTGTAACAAATGCTGCACTGCAAATATAAACACATTCCCACACATAACATTTAAGTTTAAGAGGTGAGAGAAGGAAAGAAGCCCAGGTGCTTAAATCCAAACCACCAGATGGGATCAAATAGCATCAAGAAACATTAGAGGAGCAAAAATTTAGCCAACATTGTAAAACACAACAACAACATGGGCTTCCAACTATTTCCAGACTTGGCTCAAAAAACAAACATCAACCTTCATAATGTTCAAAAGAACAGGCTGAACATAGTCCAGAGGCAGTTTTATGGATCCATCTGGACAACAAAAGAGAAGCTCAGCAGCATGTGTAGCTACCTTGGCCCACCTTGGTTGGTTTAAGACGTTACTTTAACCAACCACTTCTTAGCCTTTCATGGAATTTAGCAACAGATCACAAATTCATATCTGTTAAAAACATTTTCAAGGGTGTTGTTCAAGAGATTACAAGGGCAGGGCAACACAGAACAACACCCCACAACACTGAATCTTAACAGTAGGTTCAGACAATTCAACAGCTTTGCCGAACAAGGTCTGCCACGATGGTCAGCTACACTTTGGACGCAGGAGCCAAAGAGAAAATCGGTATCTAAAACTCAACTCATGCATCCTACAAACACCATTAGAATGGAGTCATGCATTTCACCGTGACGTTCAACAATGAAACAAAAAGTCACAAGACCCCACCCCAAAGAGACAGCGAAGACTGAAGGGGCGCTACGATACAGGAGCGAGGACTTCCTGTCTGCCCAGCAGCAACTATCGAAAAACGCCTGAATAAAATTCCACCTGGTGTAAAAGCCCGTCTCTCTGCAGCCCAGAAGGGTAACAGCTGCGACAGACAGCTTCTGGGATATGCCGTTTCCCCTGGGAGTAAACCAGCTGTCACAGATGTTACCAAGAATGTGCAAAGAGGCAGGGACGTCTCACACCAAGCACAGCCTGACATACACAAACCGGCTGATCTGGGACTTGTGGTGAGGAAGATTGTGGATAGATGAGATGCTTTTCTAAGCATACAGACCCCTAGAATGAAACGTGGAACATGAAACATATGAATAATCGACTTATTTGTCTTACAGATCTCGAAACTTGCTAAAAAGTTAGTGGAGTCGGAGGGCAGGAAATGACGGAGCAACGAGTTGTCTGATCAGTCTGTTAACTCACATATGCCACCACAGTTACTGATGACAGACTCTTATTTAAATGCAATAAACAGAAACATACCAACACTTAAACATAATATGAAGTGGCCAACAGTAGGACCTGCATGGAGGAGCTACCAAGCTAGTGTGTTGGGAAATGTGGACGTGTTTCTTGTCTACAGTCCAACTTCAGTCCAGATGTGGGACTATTTGTGTTGAAAAAGCCAAATAAATGATTCAATAAACAAACAAATCATATTCTATCACCAGAAGCACATTACATCCACAAAAAGACAAAAAAAAATCCCTGTAATTTTGACATACTAGTTACAAATTATGAGATGGGATCTTGTGAAAGTCAAGATGGCTGACGATGATTAATTATTG